ATTCCAGCAGCATTGCATTGCCCAATGCCATCTAAAAAAATGACTGACCTGGAGGGAGGTTTTCTGGGTGGTGATATCTGTGAAGACTTTAGAAAGGAATACTGAACCACAAGGGACTGTACTCCAGTCTCCTAGTCGGCAGGTGAAACTTTTAATTCTCTGTCTTCAAAAAATACAGCTGTATTTTTGGGATACACAGTAGCAGTGTGGTCGGTCCCTGGGAGCTCGGAAGGAAACCTTTCTTTGTAACCTTGAGCCAAGCTCCTGTGTGTGTCTAAATGGCCCCTCAAGTATAGCTAGAGAGAGGTCTCGGCATTAACTGTGGGACCTCTCTCTACAAGGATACTCAGAGAAGAGATTTGAACAAAGGAGGAAGTCTAAAAACCAGACTCGGGACATGAGAAATGTTCTTCATGTCCTGCCCTGTGTGTGGTATGAGCAGGGTTCTATGTTCAGTACCTGAGAGACTGGGTCACCCATTAGATACTAAAGCAGTCAACCATGGTCAGCTGCCCTTGGTGACAGGACCCTGTCCTCGAGCCTAGCATTTTCTTTGATGTTCAGAGGCTTCCGAGGTCCCTTGTCTCTACCCACTCACATTCCAGGGACAGCCACCCTAGTGGAAGAAGAAATGGGATCCTTCAAGTGAGGCTGGCCCTGGCCTGGTGGCAATTACTCGAAAAGAATGTAGCTGAGGCTCACGCTCGCCCACGTGACCAGAGGCTTTCTCCAACCCAGCCTTTATTTGTATCGAATTGTTACCCTAGGGTTTTCTGCTTTTAGCTACTACTTCTGCCAAGCCCACTAGAAGATGGGATACTTAGGAAGAACGCAAAACTTAGACATACTAAAAAGACACTCTTACCCGGTTTTGCCATTTAAGAAAGAATTCATTATAATCATAATCAGCAAAGAAACAATACTACCATCCCTCCTCACTTCTTGGGTTGGCAATTTGAGGCAGTCTCATGTGTCCCAGGCTGGCCTCAAATCGATAAGTAGCCTAGGATGACCTTGAACTCCTGATCCTCTTCCACTTCCCAAGAGCAGGGAACGAGACCAACCCTGCCTGCCCCCTGTTGTTGGCAATTTAACTCAAAGCTTTACCCGTGTTATAGGCAAATGCTCTACTACAGAGCTGTGACTCTAGAGAAGCTATATTCTATTTAGGGGGGAAAAAGCCCACTTCAACCTTACTTCTATAAGTTTTCTCCAGTTATCATTCATGCCCATGTATAGAGGCACACCAGCATGGGCTAGCCTCTGCAAAGCTTTGGATTACATTGCCAACAATGGGGGTGGGGTGGGGATAATCTTGAATAGCAGTGAAGAGCCCTTACTCAGGGATGAGCCAATTCAGCTCTGTACTCAGCAGTGGATAATTTCAGAAGAAGATAGCCCATGCTGAAGGGGCCTCAGCAAGGCTGAGGTGGGGGCAGGGAGAAGTGGCCCCATCCTGCCCCAGTGGCTCAGCAGCTCAGTGGCATATCAACCCATGGAATGTAAGCAACAGCAGGAGGATAAGCCCTGTGAGGTTGTCCTCTGACCCCCCCACCCCCATACATCCCCTGCCACACACGTGTGCACACACACACACACACTCTCACACACCCTGCTGCATACACCCCTGTTTACACATACAGAAAGGGGCTAGAGGATGAAAAAGGTTAAGTGGGTAAAAATGCTTGCTGCCTAGCCTGGCAGCCTGAGTCTGATCCCTGGGACCCACATGGAAGGAGATACTAGATGCCTGTAAGTTGTCATCATCTGACCTCCATGCTCACACACATACACACAGACAAAAATACCCATACACATAAAAATAAAAACCGGAGAAAACACAAGGCAAAGAACACCAGGGCAAAGGCCTTTTATAGAGAGAGGCATAAAGTTCAGTCAGGAGCATGAAATCTCAGACTGTCTGTGTCTAAGTCCCGGCCTTGCTAATTTACTCTCTTGCATCTTTTCCCCCATCTGTAAAAAGAGGGTATGCTAGGAGCACGGTGGCACACGCCTTTTAATCCCAGCACTCAGGAGGTGGAGGCGGGCAGATCTCTGTGAATTCAAGACAAGCCTGATCTACAGAGTGAGCTTCAGGACAGCCAGGTCTACATACAGAGTACCAGTCTCAAAAAGCAAGATACAAAACAAAACATGCCACAAGCATCAGCTGCATAAAGTTCTGGGTTTGAGAGGTTCAGTGATTGCAAAGTGCTTTAAATGGAGCCTAGAACGACAGTGTTCTGCAAATATTTATTTAAAATGTGGCCAAAATAGTTGACAAGAATAATTGAAAGTATTAGTTCAAATTGTAGGACTTCACCACCACTGCCCCATTTCCTTTTTTCTTTTTCTTTTTTTCAAAGGCTCTCAATGAATAGGCCAGGGTAGCCTGGGACTTTCCGATAATGGAATTTCGGGTGTGCACCACCACACCTGCCTGGTTTGAGATTGTGGGGTTTCCCGGT